TTTGAGAACTGGCAGGGACCTTAAGGGTCATCTAAACCCAGCCCTGCATTTTACAGATGAGGAAATTGAGATGATCAGAGAGACTGATGCTTGATCAGGATCACGTAGGGTAGCCCAGCTGATGTCTCTGCTTTTTCTTCCTCCACACTCCAAACCTAAACATACACAAGCCATTGATAGGAATTCTTCTGGTATATTAAAGGAGAAGAGTTGTACAATTTGAAAAATGTGTACTGTATTTGTATGAATTAAACTCTATGTGATCCAAAGAACCTCTTCAAGGTTGAATGAGTAAAGGAAGAAGTAAAAGGTTGGTTAAAAAAAATAAAGAGAAAGAAAAAAATGAGCTCATTATTTTAATGAATGCTGTTAATTGGGTAATGTAAAGTGAAGATTTCGTTTTCACAGTAAATCTAACTACAAAACCCTTCTGATTGCAATTGTCAAAGGGGAACTACCATGGCTAAGCAGCTAGGGCAACTGGCCCAGAGCAGCTCTCATTGATTATGAAACATCATTGGGAAAGAGATAACTGATCTGAGACTGAGGCAGCCAAATAAAACCTGACAGGAGGATGACTGAGTCACTCGGGCACTTCTCGTCTGACCCCCCAGTCTGTTCTCCTTAAAATCTGCCCAGCTGCAGATCACTCCTGATCACCTGGCCTGCCACGGACCATGCTCTCTCAATACCATCCTAGGGTTACACGGTTCTGATTGCTGAGTCAGCCAATGCAAATAGGCACAGACCCAGAATCACAAGTATGCTCCACATCACATATAATTGTCTGCCCTGGCCATCTCCTTGCTATCTGCCTCCCTACTAAATGTCTGCTTTCTCTCTCTTAACCTGGGAATTGTGATCAAATCAATCCTATCTTTGCTTCTGGAAAAGGTGCATCATTAGACTCTCTTAAAGCTTTCCTTACAGTCCCTGTGACTTCCTCAATGAAAACATCCTTGCCAGGCCATTTGTCTTTCCTATAAGAATCTAAGCCCCTTGACGGCAAGAACTTTCTTGCTTTTATATTTGTACCCCTAGCACTTACCTCACTGCTTGACCCTTATTAAGAACCTAAGAGACTTTTCATTCATTTATTCGTTCTAATAATGACATTGACCTATATATGTGGATAAACCCTTTTCTGAATGCTGTGGGAGACATAAAAGGAGAAAGTAGGATCCTTGAGGCTTGACAGTTTTCACTCTCCTAATCATGAAATATTTATAAAGCATTTACAGGATGCCAAACATTGCCTTAAAGGCTTGCTGTTTTTTTTTTATCACCTGTGATGTCATTGGTCCTCTTCTGAAACAAATAGCAAGACAATTCTACTTTTTCCTAATTGATTCCCTATCACATTCACCTCCAAGCTTTTCTCTTTTTCTCAGGCCTCCCACAGAACTCCCTTCCTTCACCCTCTCTGCTGAGGATTTTACCTCATACTCTTAGGAAGAAAGTCAGGTCAGTCAACAAAGGCTGTCTCTTCTCTCCTCATCTCAAATCCTGCTGACATCATTCTGTAATATCTCCTCTGATCTCTGATGATGAAGTGGCTCTTCTGCTTGCCAAGGCCAGCCCCTCTGCCTCTGAACATATCCTTCATCCCATGTGTCACATCTTTTCCAGAAGAATGTCCCCACTATCATCCCCACTCTCTAATCTTCTGTATTTCTTTATCTACTGGTTCCTTCCCTGCTGCCTAGGAACATGACTACATCTCCACCATCTTTAAAAAACACTCACTATATTCTATCATGACTGTCAGCTATTGTCCTTTATCTCTCCTCCCCTTCTCATCTGAGTTCTTTGAGAAAGCCATCTACAACCAGTGCATCAACTTTCTCTCTTCTCACTCTCTTCTAAACCCTCTACAATTTGGCCTCTGACCTCATCATTCAATTGAAACTGCTCTCTGCAAAGTTACTAATGATCTCTTAATTGCCAGATCTAATTTGTTGTTGTTCATTCTTCCTGATTCCATTTATGGAATTTTCTTGGCCAAGATACCAGAGTGGTTTATCTAATGGTCTTTCCTCAGTACTCATCCTTCTTGACCTCTCTGAAATACTTGGTACTCGACATTTTTTGTTCCTTGATAGTCTCTCATTTCTGGACTTTGTTCCTACCTGTCTGATTGCTCCTCCTCAAACTTTTCTTCTGGATCTTCATCCATGTCATGCCCACTAACTGTTTGAGTAGCCAAGGCTGTGTCCTTTGCCCTCTTTTCACTTCTTTTAGTGAGCTCATAAGCTCCCTAGGGGCTGAATTATTACCTCTATGCAGATGATTCCTAGATCTAAATATTCAGCTCTAGTCTCTCTCTTGAGCTTCAGCCCTGCATCACTAAATGCCTTTTGACATTTCAAACTGGTTCTCTGTAGGCACCTTAAAACTCAACATGTACAAACAAAATTCTCTTTTCTCCCAAACCTTCCCTTCTTCCCAACTTCCTTATTACTGTTGAAGATACTACCATCCTTCTTTTCACTCAGTTTTGGAATTTCAGAGTTATTCTTGATTCCTTCGTGGGGTCACTTTATATAGCTTATAGTTGTCAAATCTTGTAATTTCTTTCTCATTCTCTTAATTTAGGCATTTTTGTAAATATTTATTCATTTCATTTAGATTGTCAATTTTATTGGCATGTGATTGAGTGAAATGGTTTCTAATAATTTCCTTTATTTCTTCATTGGTTTTTAAATCGCATTTTTCAATTTTATACTGGTAATTTATTTTTCCTTTTTTTAAAAATTAAATTAGGTAATGGTTTATCTACTTTATTTCCCCCACCCAAAAAAAAAACCAACCTCAGCTCCTAGTTTTATTTATTAATTCAAAGAGGTTGGGTTTTTTTTTTTTTTTGTCTTTCAATTTGGTTAATCGTTGATTTTGGGGATTTCACTTTTGCTGTTTAATTGGGGGTTATTAATTTGTTGGTTTTCTAGTTTTTTTTAAGCTGCATGTCCAATTCTTAAATCTACTCTTTCTCTTTTTTATTGATGAAAATTTTTAGGAATATAAAATTTCCCCTACCTACTGCTTTGGCTAAATCCCTTGATTTCTTGCTCTATTACATCTCTCACATACATCACCTTCCCTCCACTAATATCATTACTGTCCTAGTTCAGCCTTCATCACCTGTGGCCCTAGACCATTGCAACAGCTTTCTGTTTGGTCTTCTGGCCTCAACTCTTCCTATTCCAGTCCATCCTCCACTCAGATGCCAAAGTAATTTTCCTAAAGCATGGGTCTGTCTCCCTTCCCCACCTCCCACCCCACTGGGTCAGCACCATTGGCTTCCTATTTCTTCCAGGATCAAATATGAAATCCTTTGCCTGGCATTTAAAGCTCTCCACAATTTGGCCCCTTCCTCATCTTATATTTTACTTTCTTCCACATGCTATGTGATCCAGTCACATGATCTACTTAATTACTTCTTGCACAAAACACTCCATCTCCCTCCTTAGCGACTTTGCATTAGCTGCTTCATCTGCCTGGAAGGCTCTCGATCCTAACCTCCAACTCTCAGTATCCTAGGCTTTCTTAAAGACCCGGCTCAAGTGGCACTTCCTCCCAAGCCCCCCAGCGGCTGGTGCCATCCCCTACTGTTAGATCCATCAACTCTTTTAACTTTTGCATATTCTGATTTGCATATGTTGTTTTCCTAGTTAGAATATAAGTGGACTATTTGTGCCAGAGCTCTGGTAGAGCCACCTTGACTCCGATATAGTGAGGTCATTTTGGTTCTCTTCAAGAAGGAAGGACAAACAACCACCATAAACTCCTTGAGGGCACCCATTAGTAGGGGGCAGGAATAGACTACCAACATTTATCTGTAAGTATTTCGCCCTTTTTAGTTTAAAATAATTTTTTTAAAAAAAATTTTAAATAGATTTGTCTGAGGGCACTGAAAGATGTTCAGGCTCACACCTCCTAAATAAGGGGGTGAGGAGGGAATGGGGCTTGAATCCCGGTCTCTAGCCCATAAACCACCACCCCCTTCAGGGGAATCTCAGAAATCCTCTGTCCTGAAGCCTTTAGATTGAGCTCTTGGAGGAAGGGTCCTGCTCTTTTTTCTTTTGGCCATTCTTTGTAGCCCCAGCACTCAGTACACTGTCTGGCACATAGTAGGCACTTAATAAATGCTTTTTGACTGACTGAGTAAACTGAGGCTCAGGTTCTCAGACTACAAAGGCAGCTAGATGGTACAATGAATGGACAGTGGGCCTGCAATCAGGAAGACTTGAATTCAAATCCAGCCTCTGACACTTCTTAGCGGTCTTATTTGGGCAAGTAATTTAATCTCAGTTCCCTGCACTATAAAATGGGGGTAATGATAGCACTTAGATAGTAGGGCTCTTGTGAGGATCAAATATGTAAAGTCTCTTAGCACAGCAGCGGGCATACAATGGGGACCTTATAAGTGATCATTTCCTTCCTACACATCTGTAAACGTTGGCAGTCCTATGACGTGGGGCTTGAAATGCAATTAGAACAATTTTATTTTTTTAGCTCCACGCCTCCAGTACACACGAACATCCTCTGAGTTAACCAGGGCAGGACAAGCTGCTCCCATTTAAATAGTGCAGCTCCAATCGGCTTTTTGAGCTCCGCCAATCTGAGTTCCGCGTCTAGAGTCGCGAGAGCAGCAGCTACCAATAAGAGGCGGGGGCGGGGCAGTAGAGAGACGCAAGCTCCAAGCTGTGGCGGGCCTGGCCGACGAGGAGCGAGGCTTGAAACCCATTGGCTAGATGGAGGCATCAATCAGTTGCCGGGGAGCCGGAAGCAGGGCTGAGAGGCGTGCTCACGGGGTGAGAAACGAGGGGCGGGTTCTAGGGGCGTGGTCTCGAGTCTGAGAGGCGGTGCGGGAGCCCTCTTGGTACAATGACCACTCCCCCGGAGGCGGGAGCGAAGGTGGGGCCAGCCAATGGCTGCGCGCTGCGGGGACTCTGTGGGCGGGCTCCGCGGCCGGGCCGGCCTTTGGGACGGGTGGGCGGGACAACGCCTCTTACCGGTGTGTCTGTGGAAGTGGCTGCTTACTGTCCATTTCCGTCTGCGATCCCTCGTGTGCCCTGTGTCCTCCCTGAGCCTCGGTTCCCAGCCATGGACAGCGCCGCCCCAGCCGCCGGCTTCCTCTACTGGGTGGGCGCGAGCACCGTGGCCTACCTGGCCCTGCGGTTGTCCTACAGCCTCTTCTTGGCCTTGCGGATCTGGGGCTTGGGCCACGAGGCGAAGGTCGGGCCGGAGCTCGGCGAGTGGGCAGGTGAGTCACGGGCGGGGCCCCGGAGCCCCGGGCTCTCGTTATCTGGAGTGGGGAGCGGAGGCCCGGGGTCCCTGAGCTCGCTATGAGCAGCCCAGGCCCCCTCTCCCGATGACCGGGCGTGGTACCGGGGGCAGAGCCCCGGGGTGCAGCAGAGAAGCGCTTATTAAGCGCGTGCTGCACCCGGTGCCAGGCTGAGTCTTGTCCCGACCATTTGTCGGCCGTGTGACCCCTGGCAAGTCACTTCCCTTCTGTGTTGATTCAGTTTCCTCATCTGTCAGCCTTTAGCATACAGTAGGCGTTTAATAAGAGCTCCTGGCTTCTAGGATCCTAGGATGGGCAGTACTTCTAGCGATTTCCCCTCCCCCTCATCCCGTGCCACTGTGCAAACTGCTGGATATGGAGTCAGTCGATCACCAAACATTTACAGAAGGCTTACTGTATGCCTCGGTACTGTGCCAGGATACAAAGAGCTGATGCAATTCAGTTCAATAAACGTGTGTTAAGCTCCTGCTGTGAGTCAACCACTGTGCAATTTGAAAATGGCTCCAGCCCACAAAGAGTCGAAGGAGCTGAACACCATGTGCACTTCTGCAACTCCGTGATTGTAAGAACTTCAGGGGAGTCACTCAAACCGAGGCCGGACTGTAAGACCTCTAAGGTTTTCTTCCAATTCTAAGCAATGATAATGGTGATGATGGCTAGCAATTATATATGCGTGTATGTACACGTACATATACACATATTTATGTAGATATGTATGTATTCACCTTAAGTTTTGCAGAACTTTGCAAATGTTAACTCCCTTGCTCAAGATGGTAGTGACATGTTCTTCCACGGACTTTTTCTACTGTGCCAGAGCAGACTGGGTGGGTTGAGTTGGAACACAGCAGCACTTAATGATCTGTGCGTTTTGAGCTGTGCCCCTTGCCTCCCCACATAGAAGAGGGCCTTAGGGCTCTTAGGACCTGGTTCAAAATGTAGAGCCTAAGTTGGCTCACTTTGTGGGTGTGCATGCAGGAGTGAGAGCCGCGGTTTTAAAATAAAGTTTCTTTTCAGCAAAGTGAACTGCAGTCACTGAAGGCTGGGCACAATTTAACGGGTTTCATTGATGATTTCTGGAACGCTGTTCAGATTGAGTCTTTTCAATCCTTCAAGCCTCTCTCCTGTGACCCATTCAGTGCTTTTTTTTTCCAGTGCTTTTTTCTTGTAGTTTTTTTCCTCTTGTACTAGAATTGTAGGACTTAGACCTAGAAGGGACGGTGAAGATCATCGGGTGTGATCTCTTATTTGAAAAAGAGGAAACTTGCGTTTCATAGAGTCAAAGAATGTTTTCCCTTATTATGTTAAACAGCAAAAATTACAATTTTAAACCTAAATTTTACTCTGGCAAAATAAGATGTTAATGTTGAAATAAATAGTGCCCTGACAGGGAATTTTTGGGGGAAATAAAACTCTCAAAATGTACCAATTGCTGAATTCCAGCTGGTGTCAAGGTTTGAAAAAAAGAAAGTAGGGTAAAGGTCTTTGGAGTTACTGGAAAATTTGCCAGTTGAGCTTGTCATTCAAACCAAAGGATTACTTGTGGAGTGGTGAATGATCTGGTTGATTTTACTGTGATTTGATTATGCATTTTGAAAGCACTTCTAGGTACAAGGCCTTAGTGATGATCCTGACAATTTTTCTGCCTGTTTCAGTTTCCTTTCTAAACAATTGGCTAGGAAATACAGAACCATTAGCATTTTAAAGGGACCAAACTTAAATTTTGACTATAGAAGATCCAGCCAATGTGGTGAGTTAACTTTGTTATTAAAATTTTAATATTCACTTTTTCTAATTTTTTCCCCCTACCTCCCCTGGCACATAACAGATGAATCACTCATTTCTAACTGCATTTCACAACTTTTTGTTCAACATTTGAATACTGAAGTCTGGATTTGGCCCCTGAGATAAGAGGCTTTAGAAAACAAGGGAAAGGTTATAGTAGGATTTGAAATAGCAACTTTTGATGGTTTTCTTTGCAGTTACAATGTCTTACAAAGCCTGTAATTCTGTGAGTTTCAGCTTGCTCTCTAGAATTCTTGCAAAAATCTCCATTTGTCCCCAGTCTTATTGAGAAATGTAAGCAGAGTAATTCACATCTGTGCTACTGGATTCATTTCTCTTTAATTTGGAACACTGCAAGCTGTTTTTTTTTCTTTTTTCTTTTTTTTTTTGGCTAGGCAATGGGGTTAAGTGACTTACCCAGGGTCACACAGCTAGTGTCAAGTGTCCGAGGTCAATTTGAACTCAGGTCCTCCTGACTCCAGGGCAGATGCTCTATCCACTGCACCACCTAGCTGCCTCCCCCACCTCAGCTTTGTTTTTTTCTTAATAAGTCTTACCCATCTCCAACTCAAGGGAAGCCTTGAAAAACAAGTGATGTTTTAAGCAGCTCCTCTTAACTTGGTACTTTGTTTTGTTATCAATCTTCAGAATGGAGTAGTGAAAGGGGGAAGTAAACTTATCCTTTGCCCTTTGGCAGAAAGGACACTTCAGCAAATACTTAATTTGAATAATTGAACACTTGGGGTTAATGTTGAGTGAGTGGGAAGGCCCTCTGAAGACTTCTCAGTATAATTAAGATTTGGTGATAAGTTCAGGAGATAAGATAGGGTTAAGTAAAGATTTCCTTTCTCTCTTAGTATTACCTCAGTTGTTAAAGATGACCAAACCTGAAACTTCTGAAACCCCCTCTTGTATTGTGTTGATGCACCTGTTGCTATATTTCGGTCATGGTGACCTGGCTATACAGTACAGTGTCGAGCTTGACTGCACATTTTTAATTACTCCATTGATATTACTTCATTAAACTAAGAAATAAGGATATGTATATTGTTCTTGTTTTGTTTTTAGTTTTTGTGAAAGAGTTTCGGGGTGAGATTGTGAGCCAAATAGTGGACAGTTGGTGGGAGGGGGGGAACTTACATGTTAGGGTATATAATCAGGTCCTTTTGCTTCTGTCTGTGTCTCCTTTCATCGGAGTATTCTGGTGGAGGGACACCCAAATCTCGAGGTTTGATATAATAATAATAAATTAACTTTCTGTTTCTCCTCGGATACCTCTGTGTGTTCTTTAATTTGAGTGGCATCCCACACAATGTGATTTAAAAAAAATTGGAAAAACTAAAATCTTAGATCTTTGAAATGCATTTTATTAAACAATATTTAATTTTCAGTCAGTAAGCATTTATTAAGTGTCCACTGTGTCCCAAGCAGTGTGCTAAGCACTGGGGGATGCAAAAAGATTAAAAAAGACTGTCTAATGGGAGAGACAACATGCAAACAAATATATACTGAGCAAGCTATATACAGGACAAATAGGAGATAATCAATGGAGGAAACGTACTGGAATTAAGAAGGGTTGTCTGCCCTTTCTGTAGTAGGTGGGATTTTAGTTGTGTGTGGGATGCCACTCGAATTAAAAATAAAACACAGAGGTGTACAAGGAGAAACAGAAAATTAATTTATTATAGCTATAATTATTATTATTTCAAATCTCGAGATTTGGGTGTCCCTCCATCAGTAAGCTCTGATGATGGGAGATGACCCCACAGAGGTAGAAGTCGGTTTTATATAACCCTGAAGGTTCAATTCCCCCCTCCCTCCCCCAACTGTGGGCTCACAATCTCACCAGCCAGACTCTACCATAGGACAAAGGACATAGTAGACATCTCTAAGTTTCTTAGTTTGTTGAGATAATGTCAAAGAAGCAATAAAAAATGTGCAGTGAGGAAGATAATTTACAATCGTTTTGGAAGGTCTTAGGGATTGAACCGACATTGCTGGGAACTGGAAGACATCTGAATAAGATCCTGTCAAAGGGAGATAAGGGGAGTAGATAAGGAACCTTTTAAGGGTTTTCTGGAGCCAGATTCCTTTAGGGGCAAAGATGCATTTGAATAAGATTAAAAAGTAAATTAAGACTTAACCACTAGACAAATTTTAACTACTGATATATGTCACTAAAAAAAAATAACTCACAGAAATCTATTCTTAACCCTATCTTACCTATACTGAGAAGTCTTCACTGAGACATCCCATTCAGTTGGGACTTAAAGCCGGGGATGGCATTAATTGGAGTGGAGGAAGGAAAGCCTATCAGGTATGGGGGACAGCAAGACAAAAAGTCTGGAAGCTGAGAGATGGAGTTGTTGTGTGTGAAACAACCAGGGTCACTGGATTGAAGAGCAAATATGGAGGAAGAAGTTGAAAGGGAGCTGGAATATGACTGGGAAGGTAGGAGGGGCTAGGCTGCCAAGGGCTTTGGAAAAGCCAAACAGATCATTTTATATTTGCTCTTGGAAGCCAGAAGAATCTCCTCCTTAGGCATCTTTCTCATTCTTTGTGTAACATTGTTGCACTTTGTTTTTAAATAAATGATGCTAGTTTTTCCCTTATGTTACATGGTTATGTTGGGGGAGGTAATTATCCCAGAATTAATGTTTGCTTAATACTTTACTCTCTTCTATTAGTTTAAAATAATTTAGTTAGTGTTTAGCAATAACATGCTGTCAGTTTGTAGTATGTTTTATTTATCTAATTTTGGGTACATTTATTCTCATTAGGTGCTAAGATCCAGGAGATATTCTATGAGTTGCCTCTTTTTGTATCATGTAGCAACTGGCACAGGGCCAGTAGGAAGCTGAGTGTTTTATTTTGGATAACTTTGAAAAAAAAAAACAACCCAAAGTTGAAAGACTGAAAGAACCTATCTTTTAAAAAACCATCAAAAACTTTTAAATTGATTTCTTTTGTTTTTACATGCCTTAATCTACCATTGTCCTCTTCCTTCCTCTACTGAGAACAACTTCTCTTTTAACAAAGACTTTAAAAAGAGAGGAGGAATTTGGAACTATGCCCAAAGGGCTATAAAACGGTGCATACCCTTTGACCCAGCAATAGCACTTCTAGGATTGTGTCCTAAAGAGATCATAAAAAAACAGGAAAAGGACCCACATGTA